GAGATCGACATATTGAAGAGGCACCGCCGAGGAAAACAATGGAGCCGCCCCCCGCCTGAGCTGACACACCAACCGGTGAAATCATCGGATACAGCCAAGAAGCAAATGAGATGTTTCAAGTGCGGAAGAGAAGGGCATCGAGCTGTAGAATGCCGCTCAAAGGCCCCCCAGCACAACCCAGACAGATCCCCAATCAACAAACCCGGAAAGTATTCAGCTAAGCCAAAAGAAACAGCCATGAGAATGATGGAAATTGCAGAAACCCCCACCTCTGCTCACCAAGGGGAAAGAACTCCAGCCTACACCACAGGGCCGGTGGATGCCTCAGATGACAGCTCGGAGGGCGAACCCCTGGTAAGTGGATGCATCACACCCATCTTCAAAACAGTGACTATATTAATCCCCCCCATGCCCGAAGCTGTGAAGGTGAAAGCCTTAATAGACTCTGGCTGTACCCGCTGCCTCATTAGCCCAACACTAGTGGGGAATCTGGGCATCCCATCCAGGAGACTGGAACAACCAATCTCATTTGGCCAGCTAGATGGATCCATAGCAGGGGGGGTGCCAGCTACCCTAGCCACTTTGCCAATACATCTCTCCCTGGGCAACCATGAAGAGGACTTAACGTTTGTGGTGACCCCAGGTATGGAATGCCCAATGATTCTAGGGATGGAATGGTTGAAAAAATGGAACCCCTGGGTAAATTGGAGGACGACAGAAATCAAATTCCCGAAGGGGGACCCTATGGACTTAAAACCCCAAGGGAGGCTACCAGAATCAAGAATAGAAAAAGCATCCATAGGAGAGGAAAAAAGATTAACAGAAATACCAGAGGAATATAGGGACCTTGCTGAAGTCTTCAGTGAGGAGAGGGCGAATGAGCTTCCCCCCCACCGACCCACAGACTGTACCATTGAATTCAAGCCTGGGGCAAAACTCCCGAAGCCCAGATTATACTCCATGAGCCCAAAGGAGAAGGAGGAAATGGAAAGATTTATAAAAAAAAACCTGGAGAGAGGTTTCATTGAGCCAGCCAAGCCTAAAGTGGCTGCCCCGGTCCTTTTTAGAGAGAAGAAGGATGGCTCTTTACGTTTATGCGTGGATTATAGGGCCCTGAATACAATCAGTGAAAGCAACCTATACCCGCTGCCCCTCATGAAAGACATGCTGTCACACCTATCGAAAGGGAAAATTTTTTCTAAACTAGACTTAAGGGAAGCTTACTATCGAGTGAGAATCAAGGAAGGGGACGAATGGAAGACTGCATTTAACTGCCCCATGGGGTGCTATCAATTCAAAGTCTTGCCATTTGGATTACAAGGGGGCCCTGCAGTCTTTATGCAATTAATCAATGACGTTCTAAGGGAGCACCTGTTTAAGGGGGTCCTTGTTTACTTGGACGACATTCTTATCTTTACCGAAACAAAAGAAGAACACGTCAAACTTGTCAGAGCGGTTTTAAAGAAGCTGCGAGCCGCTCACCTATATGCCAAACTCTCAAAATGCGAATTCCACCAGGAAAGGATAGACTACCTAGGCTATCGCATATCCCCACAGGGCATTGAAATGGACCCAGAGAAGGTCAGAGCAGTATTAGAATGGGCACCACCCCGCACAAGAAAGCAACTACAAAGTTTCCTGGGCTTTGCAAATTTTTACCGCCAATTCATCCCCTCATTTGCACAGATAGCCTTGCCCCTCACTAACTTACTAAAAACGAAGGGAACATCCTCAGTAAAACCTAGCCAGCCACTAAAATGGACAATGGAGTGCCAAGCAGCGTTTGAGAGACTAAAGAGACTTTTTTCTGCCGAACCAGTACTAAGGCACCCAGACATGGACAAACCCTTCATAATACAGGCAGATGCAAGTGATGTGGCAGTGGGGGCTGTGCTATTACAAGAAAATGATGATGCAGTATTGCAACCCTGTGCATATACATCTAAGAAACTCACGGAAACAGAACAGCGCTGGCCCGTATGGGAGAAGGAGGCTTATGGGATACGTTGGGCATTACTCACGTGGCGACAGTTCCTGGAAGGCAACAAAATCCCCTTCCAGGTATGGACTGATCACAAAAATTTAGAAGCCCTGAAAACTTCCAGGAAACTCAATCCCAAACAAGCCCGCTGGTCCCAGCATTTTCATCAATTCCAATTTAAGCTCAAACATTTACCAGGAAGAAAGAACTTCCTGGCAGATGCACTATCTCGCATGCCCCAATATAACAGCGCACGAACCACAGACTCTAGACCAATAATGGCAGAGTCACAACTGGCAGCGCCAGTAACCACAAGAACCCAAGCCAAAATAAAACCACAACTGGACAGCCAAACTGGGATTGAATTCAGAAAAAGTTTGGAAACAGATGATTGGTTCCAGAAAAACAAACATGTGTGCACAATGAGAGACGGATTGCCTTGGGTAGGGGAAAAGTTATATATACCAACAACTCAAAGACTAACTTTCATGCAACTTTGCCATGACACAAAATCAGCAGGGCATTTTGGATTTGTAAAAACTTTACACTTAATTAAACGGCAATTTTGGTGGCCATCAATAAAAAAGGACATAGAAAGTTATGTTGCCAGCTGCCCAACCTGTGCATCAGCAAAGAGGTTGCAAGGGAAATCGCCAGGGCTGTTACAACCAGTGGCAAGTCCCTCAGCCCCCTGGAGGGAAATAGCCATGGATTTTATAGTGGAATTGCCTGAAAGCAATGGGAATACTGTTATCTGGACAGTCACGGACCTATTTTCCAAACAGGTGCACTTTATCCCTTGCCAAAAAATTCCCACTGCAAAGGCCTTAGCAAAACTTTTCATCCAGCACATTTACAGATTGCACGGGGCACCCCAACGCATCATCTCTGATAGGGGAGTGCAATTTACGTCTGCATTTTGGAAGGAATTTTTATCCCTCTTAGGGACCACTCAGGGATTGACATCTAGCCACCACCCTCAAGGAGATGGACAAGCGGAACGCTGCCAGTCGGTACTTGAGCAATATTTGAGATGTTTTTTAAATTTCCAACAGAGTGATTGGACGGACTTACTTCCTTTTGCAGAAGTTGCCTACAATAATGCAGTCCACTCCAGCACAGGCTACACTCCTTTTCAAATAGCCAACGGCCAAAGTTTCAACCCTATGCCAGAGTTAACCCCAAAAGAACCAACGATCCCTTCACTGAAAGAATGGATGGAAAACCTACAAAACACCTGGCCAATAGTCAGAAAATCACTAGATGAAGCTAGGCGGGCATACAAAGCACAAGCCGATAAAAAAAGGGTTGAGCCTACACCATTCATTATAGGAGAAATGGTGTACTTATCTACAAAATACCTAAAGTCCCTACAGCCCTGTAAAAAACTTGGACCAAAATATATAGGACCTTTTCCAATTAAAAGGATCATAAATCCAGTAACAGTAGAATTAGAATTACCCAAAAACCTCAGGCAAATACACCCAATTTTTCATTGCAGCTTGCTGAAAAGAGAGCATCAGTCACCTCTACGGCCAAAAATCCCCCCCCCACCACCTCCAATCATGGTGGAGGGGGAACAACACTTCGAAATAAAAGAGATCCTTGACTCTAGGAGATATCGTGGAACAACTCAGTACCTAGTTGCCTGGAAACACCTCCCTGCCTCACAAAATGAGTGGGTCCATAAACGTCACGTCAGAGCCCCGAAGCTATTGAAGAAGTTTCACACAGAGTATCCTAACAAGCCTAACTAAATTTTTTACTTGTGTTTTCTTTCAGGTGGATCTCTCTTATTGTTAAGAGGGGCCGGATGTCAGAATCCAATTATATTTCATCTTTAATTATCAAACATAGAAACTCCCAATTCTGCCTTCTCTGGATTCTGCCATAAGAGGGAGAAAAGGGGGAGAGCAAAGGGGCTTTATGGCCCTCACTTCCTTCAGCACACTTCAAAGGACTGAATGTATGTTTATTGTGGCCTCTAAGCGTTAACATATCAAAGAAGAGTAATTGCCTTTCATGTAGTTATCTGAAGTCTCCATCCAGACGGAAGAAGAAAGGGGATGGAATTGTGATACTTGAAACTATCACTGGAAGGGGGGTTGATTGGGTGGGACTACTGGGGAACCCCTTAAAACCTTGAATGGGAGAGCTTGAACCCCAAGTCCTGTCTAGCATGCCTGCAACCATTTTCTCTTAATAAAGGATTCCTGTTGGAAGAATTATTCCAAGAGTTCTGTCTTCTTAAGATGCAAAGTGGGGTGGGTCCTTACACCTGTTGTATTTCAATAAATCTTGCTAAAGAGATTCTGAGAGAATAGTGCTTGAAAAAGAGCTGTTGGTATAGGCAGATGACTGATAATTTATTTACTAAGGTTATTTTTTAGGTTGTTTAATTAAATTATTCCTATCTGTATTTAAAATCATTTCTAAAATACTTACGTTTGAATATCTATCTTTTAACAGGAAGAAATTTAAATATAAAATGGCAAAAAGTCAGAAAGAAATCAGAACCAAACATGTTTCATACCACTATGTAGAGTTGTTGGTAACTCATAGAATAATTTTGAAGATCTGTTTCTCTTCTGGGTCTTCAGTTCTAAGTTTAAGCTGCCAAAGGAGGAATTTTAAAATTCTAGGAATGTTTAAAATTCTAGGATGAAGTCTACATTTTTACAATGATCTCATCTCTACTTTTTCATAACTGGCACTATTCGGCACATATATTCACTACTACGGATAATTCTAGTCCTGTGTCTATAGTTACCAGGATGGACTTTCACATCTACAATCCTAAAACTATGAAAAAATGTAAATTTGTTGTTTGCATGTCTATTATTTATTAAGAATTATCTGTTATTATTTTTCTTGTTTAAACCAATCATTAAAATCTCCACTGATCTTCATCAATCCTCTTCTTTTATTTGCAGTATCTACCAGCAGAAACAATGGTTGACATATAAGATCATGGCATCTCTGTGCTAAGATCCATTATCTAATTTTAAGGAAAACATACCTCCTAAAATCTGCAATCAGCTTGACATCTGCTATGATAAGCTTGTGTTTTATGATCATGTGTTTTAGAATTTGATTTTGTTCTGATATTGGATAATATTCTTCACAGAATAGACAAGGCACAGATGGAGATTCTTCTTCAGCAGAAATGCCACCTGGACTTTCTGGCAGGGAAAGTGGTTCCAAAATATAGTCTTGCTGGTCTGAAGGGAATAATATCAGGATCAGGATTAATACATACACACAAATATACCCCCAAAACAACAACCATATCTCTTTTTTGTGTTTTGAAAGCAATATTCAGTCTTTTATAAAAGTTAGCAAGTAGATGCTCTTAAATGAAATGAAGAAATATATCTGCACTTATGAGTGCTAAGCTTAGTGTACATGCACAGTTTAAGCATGCCCTGTGTTTTTGACTGTACAGTTCCCAGAATGCCCTTGAAGAGGAAGATTCACTGCACAAATTTGGCAGACAGATTAAACCAATGCTATATAAGTCTTTTCTTTGCACTTGTATTTTATCTGCATCTTTTCCTGAAGTATATCCAATAATATAACTCATATATGCATATATGCATAAACTCATATATGCAGGAATCTTTATTTTAAACAATCAAGCAGTGGTTTTAGGTCTAGTACCCAAAGACTGGCATAATGAATGGGAAAACAGAATTAGAATAAGTTTGTCACCATGAAATGTATTCCTTAAAATTTCTGCCATTCTGCTCCAAAATTCAACCCCCAACTCACCTTGCCCAGTCTAAACTATAAGCAATAGGGATACAACTTGTTGCTACCTGTTGTCATAGCTCAGAGGGGAAAGTTCAAACAATAATACTTCCGTTGCAAAACACAAGACAAATTATAATTACATCATTTTCAAAACAGCATAGAACATTTCAGGCAATTCAATTTAAAATGGCTGTGATTTGTTCCATATTCAAACCAAGCCAGCAAGTTTTGTTCATATAGAAACAAAACACATGTAATACATATTGCTTTGAATAAAAATGCAGCTCAAAATATTCTTTTGCATATCTTTACTGTCTAACAAGAAAAAAAAACACATTTACTACCAAAATGTTAAATTCTTATTACTGACCCACAATAGCACTTAGCTACTGCTAAGGAATTGGACACTTTACTCTCTAATATAACAGATATCAGTCTAACCCTTTGGGCTCTTGGCTTAGTCAACTAATCCTCAGCCTAACTTGAGAAACTATCGATGAAGGATCAGTTCAGGCCTCTGGGAATAACTACATCACCTTCTTCTAAATATGTGCTTAGAAGAAAGAGAAAGTGTCAACAAATTGAGGAAGAGATGGGGCTGTCTGAAAAAAATGTCTTTCAAAGCAAGGGTGTCTAATTCACTTTTAGCACAAACCCTAACTACTTCATGTTTCAGATCCACCTTTCTATAATTTCCATCAGTTTGCCCAAAAGAACATGTTCTTTATATGAAAACATTTCCAAAGCGTATAACAAGCAAGCAGGCAAGTATACAGATAGTCCTTGACTTATGACCACAATTTGGACCAGAAATTCTGTTGCACTTGATTTTGTAGCCTTTTTTGCCACTATCATTCAGCAAATCCACCTTCCTCCATTGATTTTGGTTGTTGGAAGCCCCCTGGAAAAGTCGCAAATGGAGATCACATGTCGCCAAGATGCTGCAACAGTTATAAACACATGCTGGTTGCCAAGGCCCGAATTCTGATCATGTGACTACTGGGACAAATATAAGAAACCCCTATTTCCTCTTTTTCCTATTCTTTCTCCTCTTTTTTGGGTTCTGCCATTCTGATGGGGGGAGGGCTTTCTGCAGTGTATTTCCTTTGGTTTGCTCCTTTCTCTTTGAAGTATCTTTCTTGGGGTGAAAATGGAATGTTCCTCCAGCCATCTGCCTTATCGCCAGACAGAGGGAAGAAACTGCAGAGAGATCTGACAGCCTTGAGAGTGGTGTTCTTTCCCACAACAATTTAACACCTATGGCTCTGTTTGAACTGGCCGGATGGACAGATGGGGTGGGATTTGAATGTTTCTTTTAATCTACTATTTCGCGTGGGAAATCCTCAGATCCTGCCATCAATACCTTCTAATAAAAGTTCCTGTCGAAACAATGCAAGTTTCAAGAATTCTGCTTTCTCCTGGGAGGTCTAACTGACCTTACCGAAACGTTCATAAAGTTACTTTCTTTAGTACCACGGTAACTTTGAACAGTTATTAAATTAATGACCATAAGTCAAGGACTGCCTGAATATAGAAATCTCAGTTTACTTGAATAAATAGTTAGTGGAATCCTGTGGATGGAATCTGCCCTTTCCGCCCCAGGAGATGGGAACCAGGAGAGAACCACGGGAACTGAGAATCCGCCGGAGTAATAAACAAACCAGTACTGGAGATCCAAAACTCTCCAATATCTCCCTGAAGAGATCTGGATGCAGGCTCTGAACCACAGTGAATCACCGTCGCCTTGCTCCTGAAATCCGCCTGCCAATTCGCCCTTTCTCGAAGGGTGCTCGTTCCGAGGGGGGAGAGGTTGGTCTCAGCTCAGGTTCCGAATAACTGGGCTTCGGCCCTAAGGGACTTGGAACAGATGTCCCCTTGTCAGTTGTCATGGTCTTTCGCCGTCACGTTGTCCGTGAGGACTAGGACGTGTTATCTTGCCACTGCGCTGCGGCAGTGGCATAGAGCCCAGTGTATAGTTCCGAGCTTCAACCAGTTTATGTTGTGCTTCAGGGCTGATTGGGAGCACCACCCCTGAGCCAGCTGTGCTCGCAAGTGCGTTCTCCAGCCAACAAGCTGGTATCCAAGCTCAGGATGAGGCGGGTGGGGTCCTTGAACAAGTTCCCCTTGGCTATCGCACCACTGGAAGGTTCATAGGGTCTAAGACAGAACCTGTACCCTTGGGTTGGGGGGACTCGTGCCCAGCCTCTGGAGCGGAAACCAGATCATAGCAGGTTCCTGGAATGTATTCTGGTCCCAGGCACTATCGCTATGCAGGAAATCAGATTTCCAAATAATTTGGAAGCATAGCCAGGGCAGCTACCCGCTCCCCTTATACCTGGATGACCAGGGATTGGATGCAGTGTAGACATTCCCGTAATCGGTAGACCTCGCACTTTCTGTGTCTCTTCACCACACCCTGGCGAAGGAGGCGGGTGGAGGGAACTGTCTGGCTCTTCCAAAATGTACTGAAAAACCCGTGACTTGAAGGGTCCTGACAGACAATGGCAAGCCTGACAGAGCCGACTGAACCAAGGAAGATGGAACGAAGATATTGACCAAATAGTACTAGATACGCCCTGGACGGTGCTTAAATGCGCGATCAGTGCCGCCAGGGCCCTGTAAGCACCCTGAGGGCCGAAGAGAGGCCAAAGAGTAGGGCCTTACAATGAAGTGTTGGCCTGCGTAGCAGCACCTGAGGAAATGTCAGATTGGAGCGTTCATGCCTAAACCTGCTGTACGTCAAGTGAGTATTTAATTATTTCAAGCATAATCATTATCCCTTTAAAAGAATGTTCTGAAAACACCTGCTAACATTTTCAGGAGGAAAACTGTTTTACTCTGAAGTTGGGTTTGAAAGCACAAGGCTGGAAACATCTTGAGTTATTTAGATACATCAAAATGAAGACCAGATGTTCATAGGAATTCCTAATAGAAGAGAAGTGATAATTCTGGAATATGAGACCTTTCAGTTAGTTTATTCAGGATCTTAGAAAGAAACTAATAGCACTGTTAAGGCTTTGAAAATAAATCTTTTAGACAACACTTTTTCCAATTTTAAAGAGCACCTTTACAGACCCCTTAAAGTTCTTCATACATGCTATTTTATAAACTCACACTCTGCAAAGTGATAGTGATTACTATGTTTGTGTTTATGCATGCAGAAAGGAAAATGCTTTCTCATTTAGTGAATGTCTAGCTGAGGCAAAATGTGAACTGAGGATTTTCTGGTCCATAATTCACATTCTTAGCTACGTAATAGCTTTCAAATAATTTAACCAGGGATTGGCAAAATGCAGCCCTACAGATATTGCTGGAAAAGATATTATTATCATCTTTTATCACTGTTCTGTTGGTAAAATCTAGGTTGTGAAATGTGATCTGTTAGAGAATTTTAATTTCTCTATTGGTGAAAAATAAATCAGAAGCTTCTTATATTTTCTAAACACAGGCAATTTCGTCCAGCTTTAAATTAAAATGCAGTCCTTAGTAAGCTCTGGGCCCATAACCTGTTAGAGAATTTTAATTTCTCTATTGGTGAAAAATAAATCAGAAGCTCTCACAGTTGACTGCATTTAGCTGATTCAAAATAACTTCTTTATGTTTATATCAAAATATTTACAATACCATACATTCTTCTTTACAGCAGCATAGCTCAATTGAAGACTTCTTACAGAGAGATATAGAGACAAACCTGAGACTGGAAATCCAGCTCCTAACTCAATACTCTTTTGCACAGACTCAGTAGCACTTTCTTCACATTGGCTGACTGAGTTACCACATGACTCTTCCTGCTCATGAATATTCCAACATGACCCTATACAGAACTCCACATATTGTCCATCCTTGGTTGACTCTTAAAAAATGACTTGCTGAATATCAGGCATACAAGTTTAATAAATTATTACTAATCTTCACAACTGGACAAAGCTCAGGTCTCCCTGATGTTTGCCCATTATCCATTAAGCATCTTACAAGGGTGTTTTTTCCCTTTTAAGGAAAAATAAATAAACCAAATCCTTTTAATCTAATTGCTACTTGTTTTTTATACATGAAGAGGGCTATTGACTTCTATCTTGCTCTTCACAGAAATCAACCAGTCATTTGTGGGAAGTCCAAAGTCAAGATAGGAAAAACATCTCTCCTCCATTATTCTTTCCCTGTAAACTGAATTGTCAGAAATACACAGTTCTACGTATATCTTTCTATGTGACATTTATAAGACATTCACTTTCCTTTATTTCTATCGTTTTTTTAAGAGATAAGGAATATAAAGGATAAACAGCACATTTGGAAAAGATTGTGACCAACAATACAGTCAATGGAAAGTCCAGAAAAGGGACTGACAACATTGAAAATGGAAAAGACTTTTTATATAAACCAGAAGAAACCTGAGGAGCAAGAAGAACAGACCGAAGGGAAGATAAACGTTTCAGGACAATTTTGGGGATCTGGAATAATAGACAGATGATTTATTAGCCCTTCCAAAAAAATGGCAACTGGATGGTCTCTTTTATTTCAAATAATATATATAATAAGAGAGGGAGATCTATTTGATGACCTAAAAGCACTGACATGGAGGGCGAGATGGCAAAGGAAGAAAGCTAGAATAAGGCTGAAGAAAATTGGGGTTTTAATTTATCAGTGAGGATTTTATATTACTAATTAAAATAGAATATATTTAAATAGACAAGATGTGTATTTTGAATACCAGTTTTGTTACAAATTGAGATAAAGAAAACTTTGGTTATTTAAAACTTGGAAGTATAAAGACAAAAAGTTGAATTTGAATATTGATGGAAAATTAAAAAATTGGGGAAAACAAATAAATAGGATATTAATTGCTTATAAAGATTGAATGTAAAAGTAATTAAGATACGTAATAAGCTAAACATTATTAATGTAATAAATATGTTTTTATTTGAGATAATAAGAACTGTATTACATTAAATATGAGATAGTAGATATCAAGAAAAAGAGGAAATATTTGATGTTGAAATAGGGGAAAATTTTGTCATTTAAGACATTTGGAAACTAGTTGAAAATAAGAAATGTTACACTGTATTATTAATTAGATGATGTAATATGGTGGGAAATAGAATATACTCAAATAGATGTGTATTTTGAATATTAGACTTTGTTAAGAATTGTGATAAAGGAAACTTTGGTTACCAAAAATTTGGAAATTATAAATATTAAACGTTAAATTTAAATATTGACGGGAAACTAAAAATTGGGAAAAACTAACTACAGGACATTGACTGTTTATAAAGATTGAATGTTAAAGTAACTAGGACAGTTGTGGCGAACCTATGGCATGGGTGCCAGAGGCGGCACTCAGAGCCCTCTCTGTGGGCACACGCGCCATTGCCCCAGTCCTAGGCCTTCATCTGGATTTTATAAAATCTTTTCACTTTAGGCCTCCACCACAGTGTGCAAAAAAAAAAAAAAAAGGTTCCGTCAATTTCAACTTCTCACGGGAAAAAGAATCTTGCAAAGTTGGAACTGATTGATTGAACTTTTTAGTCCCACCCAGTCTGCCGTTACCACCGCAGCCATGTCCACCCAATGGGCCATACCCATCCAGCACTCGACGATGGATAAGTGGGTTTTGGGTTGCAGTTTGGGCACTCAGTCTCTAAAAGGTTCACCATCACTGAACTAGGATACGTATAAGCTAAAACTTTATTGATAAATGTAACTGCTATCTTTACTTAATGGATATAATAAGAATTGTATTAGTTTAAATATGAGATAGTAAATATTAAAGGAAAAGGAGAGGAAATATTTGATGTGATAGTTTGAGACTTGTACTAAATATTTTTGTATGTTATTGAATTATTGACTAACCCAGCCGCCACATTGCTTTTTAAATACTTAAATGTAAAATTAGAAAATCAATAAAATATTACAAAAAAAAGAGGAAAAGATTCTAAAACATGGAAGTTGCCATTTCTGGGAAGCAAATGGCAGAAAACAGTTAAAATATTAAGAACAAGTCATATGGGGATAAGCATCAATATTTATCTGTTTATCATATTTCTAGACTGCCCATTCTCCTCAAGGGTAAAATCTACTTTAGACTTCCAGAGAACAATGGCAGATTACAGTAGCTTGGAGTCAATGGCCCTGATAGCTGAAGAATGGATTGAATGAAACTTCCTCTGGATCAAGAAGAGGGCTAAGTTGTCCACAAGTGTGCTCCACACAGAGGCTCTCTGCAAAGAAATTGTAATCTAATGATCTCCTATGTGTCAGAAAGCTTTGGAAGGCCAAGGAAAATCATTCTTGTTCCACACCTTCAAACAGACATTGGATTTGTCTACTTCCTCTTTTAGCAACTTTAGGAAGTTCATTGTAATGATTTTCTGGTTGTTAAGAACTTTTCTATTTAAATACTAGTAAAGGTATTAAATTACTGAAGTTGTTTATATTAGTCTGGAGGGAGGGGGAGTCTTTTTCTTTTTTTCTATCTATGCACTTTTTATTTTATTTTTTATTTTTCTTAGTTTGTATTAGTCTTTTATCTTTGTAGTCTACAATTGAATAAAACATTATAAAAATTGAAATCTACTTTTATGGTATATTTTAGACATCTTTACGTCAGGTTTGTTCCAACTGCAGTTTGTGCAGAATCAGACCTGATTTATTTACGTTCTTGTAAGCTCTTAAAAAAAGAGGACAAACTATAATATCTTCAGGTACTCCATCAATTTAATTGTTAAGACATTATTTGTATTGGAATGTTTGCATTATTGTATCTCAATGTATACTATACATCCTTTTAACAATTTACAGAACAGTATATGAGTTAATCATGCAACAACATACTACCATATAACAACACTGAACAAATGATAGTTCCCAACTGATGCTATTTAGAGCTCAGAAATTTATGTTCCATAATCCCAAAGATCATACATGCCCAGGAAGGCGAATACTTGAAGTCTGGAGGAACTGGCTTGAAGATGAATTGGGAAACATTAAAAATGGTTTTATTAATAAGCTTTATATATAACACATGTTCAAGATTTATTCCAGATTTTGCCTTTTAAATCTTCTCAATCAGGGATCCCCAATTAGAATAGAACAGAACAGAACAGAAGCTGGGACGGACCTTGGAAGTCTTCTAGTCCAGCACCCGTTCAAGCAGGAGAACCTTTACTGTTTCAGACAAGTGACTGTCCAGTCTCTTCTTAAAAATCTCCAGTGATGGAGCGCCCACCATTTCTGAAGGCAAGCTGTTCCACTGGTTAATTGTCCTCACTGTTAGGAAATTTCTCCTTAATTCTAGGTTGCTTCTCTCTTTGATCAGTTTCCAACCATTGTTTCTTGTCTTGCCCTCTGGTGCTTTGGAGAATCAGCATCAGTCCATGGCTGCCAGAAACTCAGGCAATTATACAGTAGCTTAGTACAGGGATCCCCAACTCCTGGTCTATGGACTGGCACAGGTCTGCGGCATGCTAGAAACTGGTCCACGCATACAAGTGAAGTCCCATCCGCGGGATGCAGGCAGCACACAAAACCACATCTTCAATCCGCGGAAAAACCTCTCTCCATGGAACCAGTCCCTAGTGCAGTGGTTCTCAACCTGTGGTCGGGACCCCATTTGGGGTCGAATGACCATTTCACGGGGGTCGCCAAACAACGCAGTCCACCATTTTTTCCCCTTTTCCTTAGCTGTGCTACTCCCTTTTATTCTATTGGCTTTTGTCCAGGTTGTCTCTGCCCTGCTGAGCCCGCCAAAAGTCCCATTCTGCAAACGGTGCTGCACCAGTTGAGTAGTCCTCGACTTACAACTGGTTGAGTAGTCCTTGACTTACGACCGGTTGGGGGGTCGCAGCATTAAAAAGGTTGAGAACCACTGCCCTAGTTCCTAAAAGGTTGGAGGCTGCTGGCTTAGTAAACAAATCAGCTGAATAAATCAAGGTATTTTATTCACTGTGAACCAAAGTGCATGTGAGGGCAAAACTCAAAGTACTTACAAACCTAAATACTTATTTAGAAATGAGTCACACCAATGCAATACAGGTAGTCCTTGACTTACAACAGTTCATTTAATGACTGTTCAAAGTTACAACAGCACTGAAAAAAGTGACATGTTTTTCACACAACCACTGAGCTTCCTCATGGTCATGTGATCAAAATTCAGATGCTTGGCAAATGACTGATATTTATGATGGTTGCAGTGTCCCGAAGTCAGTCATGTTATCACCTTTTGCCACCTTCTGACAAGCAAAGTCAAAGGAGAAGCCAGATTAATTTAACAACTGCAGTGATTAACAATTGTGGCAAGAAAGGTTGTAAAACAGGACAAAATTCACTTAACAAATGTCCCACTTAGCAACAAAAATGTTGGGTTGAATAGTACTTATTTCCAATTAACAAGGCACAGCACTGCAATTTGAATTTTTGAAAAACTATGTTTATATTCCCACTATAAAGTCACGATTTGTTTTATTAATAAATGACCACCGATTTTGTTCACCTTAAGCTACAAAAACGTTTATAAATGTCCCCAGCTGGATTCACACCACGCGCTTAATTCAACAACAGTTTTGCTGAGCGGATTGTTTCCCCTCTATGAGGCCTCTAATCACCTATTTATAACATGTTGAAAATTCAGCAGCGAAGATCTGAACAGAAATATTATAAGAGTGGAATGTTTCTACTGTATCTACGACGACTCATTTCAAGCCACTTTTTAATGGCTGTTCTCCCCCTTCCCTCCAAATGCCATGTTGCCCTTTAACAATATAAAAAAAATTGAAATCCGATTCCTTATAATGTTTCTATTAAGGGCAATTTTTTCGGGGTTACATATACATTGAAGGACTTCTCGCTGCCGCGCGGAAAAGGAACCAGATTCTCTTTTAAGCCTTTAACCCCGACCCTCAATTTTGCCCAGCGTTTCACTTTTGAGCTTCTAAACAGAATCGCCGGGAATCTTGACACTCGAGGCACGCGCCACAGCTTTTTCCCCGGAAGGGGGGAAAGCGCCGGGAAGAAGATAATAGACTCACCCTTCCTCCTCTCCGCCGCCCAGTCCCGCGAACAAGCCATCCCGCCAGGCCGTAATGTTAGGTACAGCAATTTCTCCCCAAAGCGCCGCCTTCCAGCCTTGGATTGGCGCCAGCTCTCCTTCTTATCTGGCCCAAAGCATGTCGGGTGTGGGCGCCTTTTGGTTCACCAACGGGCTCCAAGAAGAAGAGTTGCATGGTAGATAGGCGTGTCTTCCCGGGGGTGGTTGGTGAGCAAAAAACTCCGTTTCCCAGCATGCAGAGGGGCCTTTGAAGGTTCGATGGGGCGGAGACGGAGTTCTCTGTGACTGTCCCAGAGCGCGCCTGGTTTAGTCAATCAGAACAATGACTTCGCCGTTGGAGGGTTCGGAGGGAAGCTGAGCCGCGCGCAAAGAGCAATCACGGCTGTAGTTAGCGCTGGCCGCTGGGTGTGGGGGAGGGAGTTTTTGGCAACGGCAGCAGCTGCTGCCGTTTTTTGAGCTGGAGAGGATCTGCAGCTGTTTCTGGTATTGTCTGTAAAAAGACGGCCAAAAGGCGCACTCTTGAGCATGTGGATTCCTACAGAGCACGAGAAATACGGAGTCGGTGAGTGACATCTCCTTTTGGCGCTTGATGCCTCTCTGTCCTCTCTCTTCCGTTCCCGAGGCTGTTCCATGGGGCTCGGGAAATAGACCAGAGAGGAATCTTCGTTCATACACTCTTTACCCTTTACTCCCGCACCGGTTCCTAGCTTTGATCAGGGTAATTCTGTATTTCTCTACTGTACTCTCCAGGAAGATGTTTAAGGTTTCGAGAGAAAGAGAGTGTACTGTACTGGTTTCGTCGTCGCTCTCTGACAGCTTCCCCTTTTTGCCGTTTGCCTCCCCCGTCCCCGAAGTGTCGTTTGGACAGCTTTTGGTTTTAAAAATATAGAATAAAGAAAAAGGAGAGATAATTTATTCATTTGCAGTAGTGGTTACTATTTATCGTGGGAAGAGACTAATGGCTTTTTGGAACACTATTGGAAGATGCTTTTAACCGGGTGTCCGATTGAACCACATCTTTCTAAGGCAGATTGTAAGTGCAATCAGTCCGCGTCCCCACAAAAAAAGTCTAAGAAATGTGATGCTTTTAACAAAATGTAGGTTTGTTGAGTGTCATTACAACTTAAAACTGCCACCTCCTTTGTAAATCGTGAGCAGCACCAATGTACGGTTGAATGTGTGTTTAGTTTGAAATCGGATAGTAACCTATTTCTAATGCTAATGACATTTTTGTTCTGCTTTTTGAATACAAAAGTGTTTGTGTTACACAAGAAAATAGACTGGGCATTGTCAAGGAAGTTACAGGGCAGGGCAGAAGAAAAGCTGTTTCCATCTCCTCTACTCTACAAAAGGTGAACAACAAAGAACATTAGATGATGACTGACAGATGTGGAATTTTGCATCCTTCTCTGTTGACCCATCTGCTGAATACTTAAAACCACTCACTCCTTTTATTTTTTCTATTCTGATACATTTGAAACTCAAAAAATAATACTATCATGTAACTAAGCTTTTTTTAAAGCTGGGCTTTGAGCCTGTGATACAAACACTTTCTACCATGTACTTTTTATTCAGATAGAAAAAATAATTGAAAAATCAAGAGCATCAGCATTAGTTTTAGTTCATAAACTGGTGTTTGGTTTTGTTTTTTTTTCTAATTAATTTTCTATTTCTGGCTTGGAGCTGAAGCGCAGATACTTTTCAACTAATAAACAAAGTGATAAACCCCAAGACTATTTGCATGGAAGTAAGCCCCACTAGCAAAATTCTTGATAAACATATATAGGATTGAATTAGAGTAATGCTTCTTGTTTTTAAGTCTTCTGAAGAAAAAATATCAATATTTGCACAAAATAGCTAGTGAAAGGCATGACAAAAATGTTATGAATTTGAACAATGTTACACTGTTGAATAGTGTATTGGACAAAACAATTCAAACAAAAAGGCAAATACTTCCCTATATGAAATCACATTATGCTTAATAATTAGTGGGAAGAAAGACAGATTCCATACAACTAGCATTCTTAAAATTGACCCCAGATGTTGTTTCTGACCCAAATATTAACTTACAAAGTTCATTAATGGATACATTTTCTTGATTTCTGGCTAGATTTTAATTAGGCCTACTGCAACTATATACATAGATTTTTTTCATTTTTTTTTCATTTTACATGATAAACAGTAATCAAATTAGGTTTTAGAGTACATATGCTTGATTAATTTAATTAAGCTGTTTATTTATTTGTGTCCCAACTTTATTATTTTCAAATAACTCAAGATGGCAATCTTATCCAGTACACCTCTTACTTCCTATTTCCCCCACAACAACAACCCTGTGAGGTGGGTTGGGCTGAGAGAGAGTGTCTGGCCCAAGATCACCCAGCTGGCTTTCATGGCTAAAATGGGACTCGAACTCATGGTCTCCTGCTTTTTAGCCTGGAGCCTTAACCACTAGACCAAACTGGCTCTCAGACCTTAAATGTCTTCTCATACAAACAGTAATCAAGTTAGATTTTAGAGCAGAGTTCCCCAACCTTTCCAGATTTGCAGACCGGCATGGAGTGGGTGGGAGGAAGAGGGAATGGTTCTGCATGAGCAGTGGGAAAGCATGTGCATGCAGGCAGCTCCATTTATGTGAACAGCGGGCATGCATGTCTGCTGCTCACGAAAATGGAATGTGTTTGCATGTGCTCACCTGCTGCTCATGCAAGGGGGCATGCATGTGCACTCATTTTGAATAGCTCATGGCCCAATAGTGAGCCATGGGCCGGGGCTCGGGGACCCCTGTTTTAGGGCCGGGGCTCGGGGACCCCTGTTTTAGGGTAAAAATACTTGATTAAATTAATAATATTATTAATTTGTTAATCACAGTGCTGCAAAAGTACAGCTTCATTAATGTTTGGAATTAGGTTAGCATCAAATACTGGGCTGTGCATATAGTAGATCAATTTTAAGGTTTATGTTAGCCACTGGTACTTGGATTTAACAACAAAATGGATTAAAATTATGCTATTGTAGTATTTGCAGTATGATACGTAATGTCATGGTTCTGAAAGAAGAAGCTTTTCAAAGAACTTTGAGGCCTTGTTTCCCTTAAAGAATCCTTTTATTGTTACATAGCTTTGGCACGTGCATAATGAAGTGAAAAACTGAATACTCCTTCCCCCAATCACCCGTAACAAAGCATAACTCATTCCTTCATTTAACAGTCATCAATCACGTTCTCCAATTAGTTTGAAGTGTGAACTTTCCCTCTCGTATCTCTCTGGTTACAATTGACCTTGGAAATACTGTACTGAAATATTGTTATGGTTAACTATTCCCCGAGTACATACTTTCCCCCCTCCCTTCTAACATTGTCTGACTTTAACTCTAGAAGTGATACACAGGTTAAATAAAACATGTCTGCTTCTTCATATATTGTCAAGCAAGAACATCCGATGTTAGCAACCTTGACATCTGGCCCCCCTTACAAAAAGAACAGATCCTGCCATGTAAACAAAAGCATATGTTAAGGATTATTTTTCGGTTTGTTGGGGTGTTTCACATGAAACCTTTTGATGAGTCTGTCAGCTTTTACCTCACTGGATTTCACCCAGGTGGCTTTAGACAACGGGTATCCCTTCATTGTACTAGGTACTGCAATTTCCCTTTAAAAATTCTAGAGTCAAGAATACGTTTCACTTCATAGTGGGTCTGTCCCGCAGCTACGAGAGGCCCAGTTTCCTTCGGGGGAGGTCTTAAAGTGGAGCCCCAATAAGGTTTCAACAAGCTGCAATGGAAAACTGGGCGAATTCTCCCTAAAAGTCTAGGGAGTTTTAGTTCTACGTTGACCGAATTGATGATTCTTACTATGTGGAAAGGCCCCAAGAATTTTGGTCCCAATTTCTTGCTGGGCAATTTGAGGCGTAAATATTTAGTTGACAAATAAACCTTTCCTCCAACTTGGAATGTTCTTTGGGGAGCCCTCTTTCTATCAGCCTGCTTTTTATAAAGTCTTTTTTAAAGCAGTTTTTGTGTTTTTCCAAACTTTTTCCCACCCTCTCACCCATTGGTAAGTGTTTGGGAAGCGGAGGGCACCTGAGGGTATTCAGGTATTGGGCTGAACTCTTTTCCTGTGGCCACTCTGAAAGGCGTGTAGCCAGTGCTGTGCACAGAATTATTGTACGCCACCTCCGCAAAAGGGAGGAGGTCAGTCCAGTTCATCTGCTGATAAGAAACGTAGCATCTAAGATATTGCTCCACCATTTTGTTAGCTCCATTGGTGGCCAGATGAAAAGCAGATGATAAACCTTGAGATGATCCAATTAATTTAAGAAAACTCCTCCAAAACTTTGCTGTGAACTGCACCTCCCTGTCTAAAATGATTCGCTTAGGGGTGCCATGCAGCCAGTAGATATGTTTCAGGAACAATTTGGTCAGTCGTTGGGCAGATGGGAGTCCTTTGCAGGTGATGAAATGAGCCTGCTTCGAGAACAGGTCTATCACAGTTCAGATGACAGTATTTCCTCTACTTTCAGGTAGGTCTACTATAAAGTCCATTGCTATTTCTTCCCAGGGTTGAGAAGAGTCTGCCACCGGCTGCAGTAACCCAGGGGTTTTTCCTGGGATTCTTTTCATTGTGGCACATACAGTACAACTTTTTACATAGATTTCCACATCCCGTTTCAGCCCCGGCCACCAAAATTGCCAGTGGGTGAGGTGTAGGGTTTTCAAATATCCAAAGTGTCCAGCCTGTTTTACATCATGGCTGTGTTTGAGAGCATTAAGACGGAGGGCTTTGGGCAAATATAGTTTCCCCCCTTTGTAAGCCAAGCCATCCCTGCACGTTAGGGAGGTTTGATTATCTTTGAATCATTGATCGGTGAGGAGCTCTCGTTTTATTTTCTTTACCCCAAGGTCATTAGGATTGGGGACCCTGCGAGGCGTAAGTTGAGCGGCAGTTTGTGGATTGGGGATAATAGCCTCGTTAACCTCCTCCCATTTGCTTTTGTATTGGGGTAGCCGGGATAGCGCATCAGCTGGGAAGTTTTTTCCTCCTGGTATGTACTTTAGAGTGAAGTTAAAGCGGTTAAAGTACTGTGCCCACCACACTTGCTTTGGGGACAATTTACAGGGAGGTTTCAGTGTTTCTAGATTTTTCTGATCTGTCCATACTTCAAATGGCACCTTGCTCCCTTCTAGATAGTGTCGC